GATTTTCTAGTATTTGGCCTGGGTCTTCCTTAATACTTGACAGGGGCTTTTTAGTAGCACATGACAAAGAAAAGTGTATACAAATTTACGCATTGGCATAGGCAGTAAATTATTATTTTAAATGGTCAACGAACCAAAAGACTCTCTGGAAAATCTTAAATCTTCAAAAAGATTAGGTGATAGCTAAGAAATATGAATGTCTTCCTATGGAGGTTAAGTGCAAGAGCTATTTAAACTACTATATTTATTTTCCACAACATTTTACTTCAACAGAATGTTATATATTTTTAATTTTTCATATTCAGGATTAATACTGTTTAGACTTACTATAAGGAACCAGTTATTTGCATAATTTCTCCACGATTACATTATGTTTGGGGCCTAATGTTACTAAAATCTATGAAATCGTTGCCTTTAGTATGTCATACATGTTCAGAGAGAATACACGTGAAGTTACACGTATGAGCACAAGTGGGAACGTTTGCCTATATTAAATGTTTGTTTTAAAGAAAGAGAAGGCTTCTTAACACAGTATTCTTAACACAGTATTATTGCAAGAAGGGAACGCAAAATCCACTGAAGATTTGATGGCTGGAACATGATTTCTTTTTCTTTCTGTTGCTTTGTGTATCTGCATACACTTAGAACTGTGTTCACCTTGAGAATTTTTCTTGCCTATTTTTCTTTTCTCTCTCCTTCTTTAGTTTATCTTCTCTCATCCTGCTGCTTAACTCCTTATATAGGTTTTCTGCAGCATACTAGCTCTTATTTTGTTTTACATTCATAGATAAAACGGGGTAATTCAGGCTGGGTTTGTATGTACTCATGTTGGTCTGCAACATGTGTAAGTAACTGCTGAGTGCATAAGCATTCATGCTGCGAACAGCTATAGACATTGCAGGTATATTGAACCTTACATTGTAAATCCTCAACAAAAGATAAGTACAGGTGAGTTCTGTCAAAAGCCATTGCATTGTGTTGTGAATACATGAAATGAGAGCACCCAGCAGAGGAGGCCTGGACATGAGACCCAACCATGAGACTGACATTCATTTACTGTATAGTAGTAATGCCTTTGCATTTTGTTTTGCATCCAAATGATATGGGAGATTTTCACATGGATCTGTGATGGTCCTAAACTAAAACAGAGCCTTTCAGAATTACAGATCAGTTAAGAAAAGGCTGAGGCTAGCATTCTTTAGGGATTAATGTGTATGTTTTAGATAAAGTACCTGAAAACTATCGATTAAGGCACAGTTATCCTTTAACAGCCAAGCACAATTGTAAGGAAGATTAGCCTTTGTTTGGATCAATGAAATTGTTGTTGCAGTTTCCAACTATATTTGCTAAAAAGAAAGAATACATATGGCTCAGGTTTGGGGGCTAGATGGTTCATTTAAACTCACAAAATTACTTATCTTAGCAGATACTCTGCAAGATTCGGGCTACTTATAGCAGTAATATAAGGTCTAGAAACTCTTCTCATCGGGCAGTATATGAAACACGGAACAAAAAGATGATCTTTGCCCCAAAGAAAGCACATTCTAAGTCTAAAAGAGAACAGATGAATAAATACAGGGAGAACAAGGAAATAATAAAAGAATACTCTTCAAAAGATATGAGCAGGGACCTTGTCATAAAACCCTAACAGCTATTGTCAGGATTTTTGCATACATCATGGGAAAAGAGTGCTTTAAGGAAGCATCTGAAAGAAAACAATGAAATGGCTTTGTAAATATGTTTGGGTAACTCCAGATATAAGGAGCAGCATGAGAGCAAGCACAAAAACGCTAAATGAAAATCTAATAAAAAGACCATGTAAACTGACATCACCATTTTGATAATTGGTGAAGGCCAAAGAAAATGAGAAAGCTCTGCAGTGCAGAGACCTGCAGTTGTAGGTATGTAGCTGGGGAAGGGGGTGCAGAGGCTGTGGGGAGGTGTCTCGTGATGGCAGCCCAACTTAGCCTTAACCACACTGTGGGTGAGTGGGAGTGGTACAAGAACATTTATCACAGCTAAAGAACATCATATTGTAGAAACTGAAACACAGGCTAATGCACAATGTGTTAAAATTACAGAAAAAAAAAGTGTTTGGACTTGTTACTGTTTTATGAATTTACATTTGCAAGTTGTACCTGCAGTATGGTGTGTGCTTTGTAGGTAGAGCCTCCATCCTCCAGAGTTTACACCCTAAATTACAGAGACTTGTATAATCTAGCCTGCATGATCTGATGAGATATATGCTTGAGCAGAACAGGAATACTTGAGCTAATTGTAAGTGGAAGAAGTCTAATTGTAGCAGCACAGAACCCAGCATGGGTCGTTTACTATTCCTCTGCTTAGAAAGCCTGCTTTAAGCAGTTTAATATGCGTACAGTGCTTCAAAGTGTTGTCTTCCTCTGCAGTAGGTTTAGAACTTCTTTGACATATGAAAAGTCTTTCCTTTGGTTGTTTCAGTTAACTTGGCAGAAATGAGAGGGAGATGGCAACAGACACTTCGAGTAACTCGCCCAGCTCTACATTACCTGGTGCTGAAAAAGCCTTGTCCTGCATTCCTGATACACTGCACTTCCCTTTGATTCTGCAGAGGACTCAATTACTGGGAGAGCTGTCTCCCAGGCAAAGGAGGAGGGAGTGTTACTATCCGAATTTGTAATGGTTTCTTACGCTCATTCACACCTTCCCTTAAAATAGCATTTAATTCCACTGGAACTATGTTCAATGAGCTTCATGATAGCTATTTCAAATCTCAGAAAGTTCATCATGATTTTATACTGCAGTAATCTTATCAATGAATGATCAAAAGGACAGTTCCCCATGCTTTGGATTTGTCAGGTTTTAAATTGTCATATCCAAACACATGCCAGTGGATGATCTCCTTGAGAGAGCACAGGATACAGCATGCTTCAGGTTTCCCACATCCCACCCTTTGTGTTTCACAACCTCAGCTATGTACCATTTATTTCTCAATGGATGACTGTTCTGGCAGCAGAAATGAACAGGTATTGCGAACTTTGTGTAAGAAATATTAGCAGACACTGGAGGACTTGCACACTTCAGCTACAGTACAGTGGTAATGCTTCTACCACTTCACTGCAGTTGCACAAGAGTGCCAGTATGCATCAATTAAGAAATGCAAGATGGAGCAGGGTGATCAAGGTGGGATTTATTAGGAAAGCTAATGAAAAAAGTTCCAAAACCTGAAGCAATACAAAAGCTGAGAGGCAGGCAGGCCCAAACGCTTTAAGGCCTTTCATCCCATGCAAAATAGACTTTGATTTCCACTGCCAAGGAGGGGCAGCACTCTTCATATTCTGATTTTTTTACCTTCTTAAAGCAGCTTGAACCCTTCAAAAATCCTAAAATTGTTCTTAGTGAGTAACCTATATGAATTCTAAATAATGAAAGAAAACAAAACTTGTCCAGGAATAAATTATGCTTACGATACTATGGATTGTATTTTTACCACAAGTAGAATTCCACTTTGTTGTGCTCTGAAACAAAGACAATTCTGCTCATTATATTGTACAGTCAAGCAGTCAAAAGGTATAAAACTCTCCATAGCAGGATGAAGCTGTAAAATGCCTTTGGAACCTCCTTGCTATTGATTTCACCACATAACACGTGATGGGATCAGATAGCTAAACGACTTCCAGGTTTGCAACAGGGACTGGACGGTGTCCTGGGCTGCAGATATGCGTGAGGGCAGAAGGCACAGATGCCGCGGTGAGCGGCGCAGGGGGCCCTGCTCCCTCCTGCCTCTGGCCGCTGTCCTTCCTTCAGCACCAACCCCACTCTACTCATGGGCTGGGGAAAAGAACCGCATCGGCCCCATGCTTTGCTCTGCATCCTTGCAGAACTGAGCCAGAAGTTCTGCTTCCTCTGCGCCTTTTTGCCCACGCAATATAATATGTTTTTCAGGGTTCCTTTCCAAGACATGCTGAGCAATCAGAAAGATTCTTTACTCCAGGTGTAGAAAGGAAATTCTAAGCAGTGGATTCTATGTCCTCTATGTCCTCATCCTAAAGACATCCCAAGCACACTATTTAGCCAGGCAGTATAGAAAAAGACTGACTGGCTCCAGGAGCAGGGGAATTAATTAAGTCTGGGCTTTGTGGATTTATGTCCTCTTGTAGCTCTCTTGCAGCTAAAATGGAACATTTATCTCCTAGGGGATTAGTCTCTTGTACCTTATCAGCCTTGCCTTCACTGGGGGCACCAGTATGGTCACTTTTCTCTATCTCACTGATTTTTTTAATTAAACTTTCAGGCATACAATTCCTTTGAGAACCTGCACCTCTACCCAACTTGATTGATGTTTGTTTTAAAGCTTTAAAATTATTCCAGAAGGTAGGGCTCTCTATGGGCAGGTAAAATGGGCAAAGCTTCATTTCTTTAGGAAACAAAGCTTTTAGAAAAATCCGTTTTAAAATACTTGATATTCTGTAAAGTGAATGTAATAGACTTTATTTCTTTCCTTTGAAGTATAATGTGAAATATTTTCTTCAAGTCAATGTGTGTATCATTTAATCTAAGTGGATAACCTGGGGAAGGGACTGTGCACCTGAAAGCTTATTCTCTTTTTTAGCTATATGAGCTGGTCTATTATACTACTTTATTTCTCCCCTCAGAACTTGCTTCTTTTCTAATTAGACACCCTGGTGCACTCTCATTAAATCTCTCAAGGAGTATTATTCCCTGAGGAAGTCCTGAGGGACTGAACTAGATTCAGAGTTATAATAGACACATGATTAGATTAAACTGGTGGGAGAATTCAGTATGTGACATACACATGCAAATATTTATAAATGTATCAATCTGAAATATTGCACTTTTTAACATTGAACTGTTGGGATTAGAAAAATAATGTCCCTGTTGTTGTAGACTTTAAAAAAATCCTTTCTGGGAGAGAAGACAGTATTTTATATTGAGCCTAAATCATCAGACCAGGCAATGACAAGTGTGCTTTCAGAAATGTAGTCTCAACATGACTCAGGATGTAGCCCACGGTAATTACTGTCAGTATTAATAACAGCTTCTGTTAAGAAACCTTCCTTTGTTTACTGTTTCAGCAAATTCACCTGATGATTTTTTGTCTTTGAATAATATATGCATGAGACAACAGGGTCCGTCTGGATGCTTTTATTGCTGCTTCACCCGTCTACAACTTGAAATTCCTGCCTGTTTATTAGTAATAACCAAATATAAATTTCCTAGTGAATTACTTGGCATAATAATTTTGTCACAAGAGAAGGGCTCACAAGCTGACCCTTGCCACAACTTCTTCAGAGCACATAACAGGGAAGTTAATTTTGCCAAGGGACTGTTGAAGCACAGAGGGATTAAATGACTTCCCCTGGTCAAAGATTGTGGTAGACATAGAGGAAAATAAAAAATCCAGCTATCTAAGCAAGCATCCTAACCACTAGAGCATCTTACCTCTGCAGAGGTAAGAAACTTACCTTTCTTGCTCAAGAAGGCAGAAATAACTGGGCTGGATTTTCTGGGACTGTATAACCAGTAGTCAGATGGTCTTTTTTCTTTGCTTTTAAAAGAGCAGGCGCTGTTAACTTTTCAGCCCTAGTGTTCAAATGGTTTTCATGGTTGATACAGTTCAATTAGTCTAATAGCTATCAATCCTTTGTTGCTTTAATGGCATTCAGAATACTAATCCACTCTTTCATGAACCAGGAAATCTGAACAGAAATTTAATTTGAATTTTTTTTCTACAAACTGCAGTGATAGGACTAGCAATTCTGTAGCACTTATGTCGAATTTAATCAAACCTAAATTTCTCAGTATCAAAATTTCAGGTGGCTGCAGTACAGGCAGGACACGATCCATCAAGACTTATAAAAAAACAACCAAGGAGCCAATCCCCCCCATTCCTCCCCCCCTTTGCCCCTCACCCCAAATGTCAGCGCTTCGCTGGACTATCCCAGGCTGGCTTCCATTGCTCTGCTCTTGGCGAAGGACAGCAATTCAGCAGTGCAGAAACAAAGAAAGTGGTGCATGGAAATCTGTAACAAAGTGACATCGGATCTACACCTTACACACAGCACCGGATCTCAGCTTTATCTGTGGCTTGATGAGGTGCAGATCCTGTTTGTTAAAATCTCCTTGGAGTAACTGGCTCTGGAGTGCATTACTATCCAACAAGTACTTCAGATTCATAGGTTGTATCATACATAACTAAGAGGTTAAGCTCTAAAAGGACTGTATATTTACATGAGAAATACATCCACAGAGCATTTATTACGAAACATTTTATCTCTCGTTTTTCTTGCTGGATGAACAACTTGGCTATTTTACATCTTGACTAAATAACTTAATTTAAGCATTTTAAGCACTGCTCACCTTGCTAAAATTCAGCAGCTCAGCTCCACCTTTTTCATCATTCAACAGCCACACTTCTGAGCTGAATAACTCCAAGTATGCTACCACTAATAAAATACAGCAGAGTAGTCTCTTAGAAGCATCTACAGGTAAAACAGTACAATGTAGTCGAAGGTCTTTATAAATATTTCCTTATATGAGTTCTCCAGAATCCAGTATTTTCAGATTTAGGCTGTCCAACAAAATCTGCTGATTAACGTTCACCAGAATTTGATAACAGAAATTCTCAGTGTGTTTCAAGTTCTTTAAAGATTGTAGAAGTCTCCTTTGACCTGCTGGAGTACTTTGCAAATGTCGTGAGTCTTTGGAGAGCTTCTGATAAACCTTCTCCTGTGATAGCACAACAGGGCTGTACGTACCAATTTCTGTCACTGCAGTACTTCTTCATCTTGAATCTCCTGGTTATTTCCTCAGCGTTCAAAGCTCCAGGCAAATCCTGCTTGTTCGCTAGCACGACGACCGGTACGCTCTTCATAAATTCATTCTTTAAAATGAGTTCAAATTCCTTCTTTGATTCTTCCAGACGTCGCTTATCAGAGCTGTCCACGACATACAGCAGCCCGTCTGCGTTTTCCAGGAAATTGCACCAAACCTGCCTCATTTTCTGTTGTCCTCCAACATCCCAAAACGTCAAAGTAAAATCTTTGGCGGTTTCAATCATATCAACATTAAAGCCAATTGTCGGAGTTGTTAGAAAAACATCGTTACACTTGAACTTGTACAGCAGCGTGGATTTTCCCGCAGAATCAAGTCCTAACATCACTATATTCCCTGGCTTCACTTTGGAGTGTTTGGTGCTCTGCAGGCCCATTCGTGACGTGGTCTTCTCCACTCAGCCTTTAAAGCTGGAATTCACCGTCTTCCGTAAAGCCAACTTTTTGTCAGTAAGATGTCTTTGTTCCCCGTGAGATGAAGCACAAAGAGCCAGGAAGAGGAAGGGGAAGAAGCAGCTTTGCGCTATGAAAAGTAAGTAAAAGCTCTGTACAAATACATGCCGGCTTTTATCAGCTTGATTATCCATACACAAACAGTATTTATGAAGGTGTAATGTTCAGTGCCAAGCCTGTGGGTGGAACAACCATGAGTAACGAACCAATTGGTCACAAGCGCAAAGGTTACCGTCTTCGAACGTGTTTGAACAGCCAACCACACTTACATGACCATTTAAGAACTCTTTACATTGTAAAATTGTGTGTACCAAACCAGCAGCAGCCTGGTTTTACTGCCTAATCCCATGGTCCAGGGAACCGCTACCTGCCTGCCCTGTTTAGTGTGTGCCCAGAGATAAACCCCTTTATTACTGCATCCACATTTGTGTAGGAAAAGAAACAAAATATAAACACAGCCAGTGAGGAGGGGAAACCTTAAGGTCTGACCATACTTACCAGTTTACAGAATGACAAGATATCTGATTTATTGGTGCATCTTGTTTCCCAGGGACAAATTAATGTCAAGAGGTTTCTAATGTGAGTCTGCATGGGTACACGGACTCAATCAAACCATAAGAGAACTGCACTTAAAAAGGTGCTCTGCTCTAACTGGCTGTCTCAGACTCCATCAGTTACTCTTCCTCCTCACTCGTGCATGAAGTTGTCTGCTTTGATGACGCTGTCTGTTGTAAACTTGATGAGTTATGTTTGTATGAACAAGTTTAACTGCACTCTGCATGGTGGACACTGAATACAGATCTTATGATCTGGTCATTACCAAGATTCAGCTACCTGAAATTAAAAATTCCTATTAGGTCAATTATGCTCTATTTTGTTGTTGCCCTCTGATCTGTGATGAAGATTTCCTTCAAGAAAGGAAGAAGAAGGAGGGTGTCCTGGTTTTGCTGGGTTAGAACAACAGAATCAGTTCTCTGTTCAGGAAAGCTGCATTTCTGCAAACACCACAGCACTCCATTTAGTGGAAACAGACTTGGAAAGACACTTTGTTCTAGTTTTTGGCCGGCACTGATGTGCAGCAGTCAAGGTCTGTAGCAGTTTTGAGTTAGCCAGGTGCAGAAGCTGGGGGAACCGAAAGCCAGGGCAGCCGACAAGCCGGCCAACAGAATTATCCCGTACCATAAACATCACACTCACTGAATTGGGGAGTTTGCTGGGGACTTTCCTCAATGTCTGTCATCCCTGGAGGGCATCACCCATCATTCTCCTCCTGAGGCCTGCCCCCCCACTCATTGTGACTACTATATCAGCTGAGTGTAACTTTGTGTACTTTATATTTATATTGCTATTTATACTGTATTTTTATTTTTATTTGTTTCTATTTCAACCCACAGCTCTTCTTTCCTTTTCCCAATTCCCTTTCCTGAGTGGGGAGGAGTCATGAGGTAACAGAACAATTGTCTAAACCATGACAGCTGGAAATAACTGAGTTTCAATCAAAAGTTAATTTTTTGGCCAGCATTTTCAATAATAGAATATGAAAAAAAAAAGAGGAGATAGAAAATTTAGTCTAGCATGATTTAATTAGTTTTGAGTCTCCATTGTCTGGACCTATGCTGGGCTGGTCCAATGCATGCTGAGTATTGCAACAGTTATTCGCCCTTATACCCACATGCACCAGTATCAGTCATTGCCAGTTGTCTTTGCTTCGGGAAGTCCACAGTCAGCAAAAAGATGTAAAAGTCTTCTGGCCAATGGAGCTGCTGACTGATAGGGTAATCACGTTGATAATGGCAACGTTGGTTGCTCAGATATTACACGTTGCGTAAAATAAACCTCAGTCTTGACAGACAAGTTATAATCTGGTTTCTCTTGAAGTTAAAAGGGTTATACCAGAACTAATTGAGGGCAACAAGAGATGATGATGACATACTCACCGTTGTGCGTTTTTCGTATTTAACAGCACGTACAGATTACGTGTAGGGTTTCTTTCAGGAGCAGGTCATGATGTCTTAAACCAGGGAAGAAAGTGTTTGCATTTCTTTATAAATAATGTACATGAATGAATTGAAAGATGGGGAGACAGGGAACTATGCAAAACACATTGTTAACGCAGTCAAATGAATCACAATTCCCTGCAAAATAGCGTGCCATTTCCTTGACATACGGTTATCGTGATCAAGGGCAAAACCTCCCTTCTGTGACAGAGTGGATGTCGTGTGTCCCTGGGTCGTGCTGGGATTGAGAGGTTACTCACAGTTCTCTGCCTTACACATTTGCTCCAAATGTATTCAATATTTATGGTCTCAACTGTTATTTTATTAAATCTGACTATCACTTTAGAGAAGTGATTAAGCCATGTCTGACTTTTTTACAAGCCAATAAAATTTATTTCCAGGACAGAATCGCTAGCTTCTGACGACACCATAGTTTTGGAGTTTTTGGTTGTTCCCGAATCAAACCTGAGTTTGTTTCAGAGCAACATTTTGTCACGCAGAGCCACTTCCAGTAATGATTTCCTGTGTTACTTGGGAGTTTACATCACAGGATGAGTTCAAAACAGAGCCGTTGGCAGCTGCGCAAGATATGGAGTGACGGAGCCTTCCACACACAGCTGCTAATTCTACATTTGCACCAAAAGGTGAGCATTTGGAAGAATAAGAAATCTCCCTCGGATTTGTCCAAAGGTGTATTTGCTTTGCCGGGGTGAGGCTATCTTGCTTGTCTAGGGTTTGCCTCTATGTTCAGCTTAAAAAACTCAGTAATAAAACAAAACTAGGACAGCTGATTTACAATCAATTAATCTGAACTCAAACTTTGCACGATAAACCTTTCGTACGCTATGTAGGTTTATGTAAACTATTTAGGTTCCCAAGTTGTCCGAGCAGGACATTCCACCGCGGCTGCGTGCTCTTGTAACAGCACAACGTGTCATTAACGTAGTAATTTAGGGAGCCTTGGGGGTGAATCAGAACAAGTTGAATTGAAAACCACCTGCGTCTTCTTCCCTGGAATCCACACACTTTGATCTCACCCCTAACCACGCTGGGTTTTTAAAAAACAGGGAACCAGCTGCAGCCCTGCGAGCACTACCGAGAAGAAACCCGGCGCCGGGGACGCCATTTGCTGCGCCCTCCCGGCGCTGCAACGCAGGGCCCGCCCGCTCCCCGCTTCTGCCGCCCCCGGCACCCCCCGCGAGGAGGCGGAGACGCAGCTGCTACGCCCAGGAGGCCCCGCCCCGTCTGACGGGCGGCCCGGCACGGTAACGGTAACGGGTAACGGTCGCGGGGGGGGCGGCGGGCCTTGGGGAGCGCGCGGGCGCGGCCCTG